GATAGATAGATAGATAGATAGATAGATAGATAGATAGATAGATAGATGAAATGAAATAAGGTGTTTTTCAGTCAAAAATAAGGCCTGCATTTCATTTAGTAAGCAGTTTGGAGCACTCATTTACCTCAAATAGCCCTTGCATTACAGACTGTCTGCTGCCAACGTAATGCTCTGATTGGCATGGCAAATACAAAACCTTACTAAGAACAAAGACCCGCAACAAATGGCCACCTTCAGGCCATTAAAATTTCTAGATAATGAGGGGTGCAAACTCATGACCTGGGAGACTGTAACCAGGAAACAAGCTGGCAAGGCTGATGATCATTTTCTGTACAAAACTCAAAGAAAAAGCTGTTTAGCCGCAAATGTGAGTTCCTTGAAATAGGGCATAAAAAGTCGTGACAACTACAAATCTCTTTCATTTTGTTGCTATAATTATTAAAATTGTGCTTTTAAGATAGTTACAATCACTCAGTTTTCTTTCCTGATGCTTTAAATATGACCTTAGCAATGTGTTCTAGTTTCCTGGTGGACAAATAACACGCATCAACCCAACAGTCAGAAACTTTTTCTTACAAATGTGCAATTTTCTCGACGTGGCTCTTCAACATTTAGTCAGTTTTAAACCGCAGATACATTTCACAAGCTATATTCACATTTATGGGAAGAGGTTGGGGCTAAAAAATTCTCTACTATTGTATGTCAAACGCTCTCACAGAGAGAAAGAACAGGTTGTGTATTTTTCTTCCATAGAGACAATTGAAAGAGAGAGCTCTATCCCAAGGCTGATGTCATAGAAGAAGAAAAGGTTGAGAGACACTCCTAATAGGATAACTGGTTGCTGTAAGCGGGCTTGTTCAGTCCTACGCATGAAGCGTATAAATGAATCCCTGGACTCATGAGTTAACTTCATTAGATTTTTCTTTCTTTCTGCTCAACCTGCTCAGTGCCTGAAGGAATAGAACAGTAATACAGCTGTCAGTATTTAATAAGAGGCTTGTGCGTTTCTGATGTATCACTTCAAGCGCTCCACTGTGCCTCAGTGAGTCTTTAAGCCTTAAAGAATAAAATACAATTTTTTCATACAATGATCACTCACCATGTTTTCTCCACACTTGGTTCCAGCCAGAACGAGTCCAGGGTCCGGCATGTCATCACCCAGGTATACGTGTGTCCCCCGGCACAGAATACGCCCTCCTTCTTGCAGCGGGATATTGGTTTCAATTGAAACAGCGTTTGTTCCAATCACTGGCCGGTTGGCTCCACCCTGGCACTGAATTTTCCCGCACTTTGCATCCCTGAATTTAACACACACGTGTACACAAGCATTCAATAATAGCCAATACAACTGTGGGGTATCAATCACCTACGCACATAGCTGACAGATGAACGAATGCTGAAGAGAACTGCCATCATTAAAGCAATTACATCTTCTAACAAAAAGCTTGATTACGGATTTCTCTCAGAATGAGGAAACTAGAATAATTAGACTACAAGAATGCATGAAATGATCAATTTCTTGGAAAGTAATTTGCTGTTATCTTTCTCAGAATATGCTTTTCTTCCATGTAAAACATTTGTTTTGGAGATCACATGTCAGAATCCATGGCATGTGTAAAGGCAATTGTGTTTTGCACAGTAAGTTACTGTATCTGTAGCTCCACTGCATCGGAGCAGCAGCAGAGTCATACCTCGCGTCACATTTGGCAAACGAGCCTTTGGAGTCCTTCCCACAGTTCCCGTAGGGATCCCCTGCAGAATTAACCCTCTTAAAGCAGATCCCAGGGGCAGGCTTGGCTCCTGCACACAAAAACAAAAATAAGCAGTCATCAAAAGAGATAATTTTATAAAAAGTTTTTAAAAGAATCTGCACACACATCTATTTTCTTCAGAAGCTACTGTTTTACCTTGACCCCACAGGGTGATGCATTGCTGCTCGTGGGTCTGACAGATGCCGTTGTAGCAGTAGCCCTCGACTTTGTGGCAGGCGTGTCCATCATGCAGGTAAACGTTAGCTGGGCAGTGAGGACTGGCTCCAGTGCAGAACTCAGGCAGGTCACACGAGTTGCTGGACTCTCGGCACAAAGTGCCAGCCAGTTTGAGCTGTGAACAAGTACAGTTTAGTCAAACACTGGAAAGACTCAAACTCTTGCTGAGTACCACTGCATCTGTATGCTTTCAGGGCTTTGTAAACGCTCCATTATGTCATAATTTAAACATGAAAAGACTGGTTCAAATAGAGCTGGGTTACTTCAGTGATGTTTGACACCAGGGGTGAAGGGTGAAAGTACATCAGTGAAAGTCTGAGCAGAAGTTCAGAGTAAATCATGACTGAGTGAATATGACTAGGATACTACAGTATAATAGTATGATAAGAAGTACCAAGTATCAACTCTTAGCTATGTTTTTTGATTTGAGACATTTTGAGCTTTGGTCTTGTAAATGTTAGACGACATAGCGGCAAATTATATATATATATTCACATAAATCAAAGAAGCTGTATATGATCGTCAAGGATGGAGAACGTTGTTCCCATAAGAGACTGAGAATCGACCACGATTGAACGGATAGTAGTAGTATATACTTATTACCGGCAAACTTCTGTCTGAGAGGCAAAAGCTCTACCAGTTGATCCATCGTACTGCCTCATATACATATATACACTCACACACACACACATATATATATATATATATGTATATATACACACACACACATATACATATATATAT